AAGAAGAATAATTTAATAACAAAGTAAACAAATAAAATTATAATTACTAGCGCATTTAATCCTGCCAAAGATCTATGCAATTAACATTCATTATAGCTTGTGAATCCAATCCTTTATCATTTAATTATTGAGCAGTATATTTTCATAATGAATGATTTACAATTCTTTTCTTTTATTGGTTTGGTATAATCAATTCCAGATAATATTGCAAATCTTTTTATCTCGATCCATATGAGAATTAGAATACCAATTTTATATAAAATTCAAGTTTTAAATGGTGTTCCACCTTATAAAGAAAATTATTACAAGTTTATTTATTCGTAAATTATATATTTATTCTCATTCCCTCATTAGAAAACCAAAAGTAATTAATCGAAGACTTATTTATTTCCATAAAATTTAATCAAGGCGGCTGATCTTAAAACACAGTTGTAAATGAATAAGTGTATGTAATTAAAATTTTCACGTAAATAGTTTATAGGCACATATGAAATGAAATCATAATTCCATAATTTATTAAGTTTATGGTTTGTTTAGGTAATTGTCATTCAATTTTGTTGACGATTATGAATAAATCATTTATAAGGTTTAACCTTTTATGGTTTTCAGTAATTATTATTCATGGTCTAAAATATGAACTGGAATCATTTTGAGGAGAATTATTGCAACACGAAAATACGGATGTCATTATCAAGTATAAATATAAAGAATGATAAGGGTTTGTGTCTTTTATTATTAGTAGACCGAAAATTAAACTGGCAACGGTCGCAATATATACATCAATAACCCTATTAAAAAATAAAATGAATATCCACTAAATGTGTGTTTAAATAACATACAGGAAATATCATCGTAAATTTTTAAATTCCTACAATAATAAAGTATAGATAAAAATTTATTATTGTAAAAGTAAAGCTTTTCTTAGCCAGCGCCTCACATGACTAATGTGGCGAATTTTAAGCAATTAATCACATGTTTTATGCAAACTAGTTTAAATTATTTTATTTTTTATGTAAATTAACAACAAAGTTGAATTGGTGTAGTGGTAACAACGCTTGGCATGGTGCATGCCTTGGGTCCGAATACTTGCTATACCAATTTCCAAAAAAATAAAAAAAATTTTTTTTTTATTATTATTCATTCATCCCGGGAAGTTTTGCGAAAGTGAATTTAATATGGTGAGCGAGTAGTATATTTTTATGTGGTTCAAAATTTTATAATATATTTGATGTGATAAGTATACGTGGTATTTTTTTTATTTAGGACCAACAAACTATTTAATAGAAATATTAAGTGAGTTTTTTTAAAGATCAGAATTTTAAATCTTGTTACGATGAATTACAAATAAATTAATTACATTGCATTTGATCTATTTATCCGGCTCCTTCGGTTTCAGTTTCATTAGATTTAAATCTAAGGGTTGAAACTCATAATCGACAAAAAATTTGAAACCGTTTCAACCTGATTTCTTTTCCAACCGGATTTGGTATATCCGGTTTTTGTACTAGACAAATATTTTATCCGCTTAGCGCGTCTCATTTACAGACAGCAATTTCACAAAATGTGATCATATTTCGTCTCAAATTTATATCCTTTTTTTTTTTATTATTAAATTAGCTTATCCCAATATTTATTATTTATATTAATTGACAATGAATTTAGCCGTAATAAAAGTAAAATTAGTATTATACTAATAGCGAACAAATACCATATCTCTTTGCATTATTTAACTTTATAGAATAGGGCACGATTTTTATCAAATTTATCAAAATTGAGATTCAAAAAATAAAAAATGTATTTAACATTCAGTTACGGTTTTGTATATGTGTGTTGTGTCATCGTGCCGATGGGCAAAAGTGATTAAATTGTTTAACACAACTTATCATTTCATTAAATCTCTGATTTTTTTTTATTATATATTATTGTAAAATCCCTAGCTTTATTAGATACAATCCGGGTAAATCCGGATACAAAAATTTTTTAAGATGTTTTTTATTATTAAAATTTTAAATGAATGTAAAAAGCAAATGCAAAGGTGATAGTTTTGGTCATTAATGATCATTAATTAGATGTTCAAGTTAATATTTATATAGCTATAGATTTTACATCTTACAATAAAACAAAAAAAAAAATTAGCTAATAGCTATTACCGCTGCTAAATAACTAAATGTATGAATAACCTTATCGATAACCTTATCAATAGCTTATAAACCCATTTTTCCGAAAATTTTACTGATTACTTATTAATTTTAATAAAAAAATATCGCAGCGTTACCAAATAGATTTACATTACAAAATATTTTACAACAGAAACAAATCCATTTCCTGTAAATTAATAAGAATTATAATAATCGTATTCGGGTCAACCCTTAATATAAAACGGATACAAATGGATGTTATCTGTTTTTACCCATTTGTTATTTTATGACCCGGATACTTATATACTCGGGTTGTATCCGAGTAAATGGGTATTGTCGAAATCTCTTTCGAAATGGATTCGATTTCGACTTTTATCATTTGCTAAAAATATTTGTCTTGTCCGCTAACGAGCATTTTGCATGACTCATTTATTTATTTTTAGGAAAAATTATATTTACAATACATATACATTAACATAAAAAATAATTAACTAGATTGATTTATATACGATATAGAATTTCAAAAATTTCTGGAAGCCTTATTTTTCAATTGTTCAAATACTATATAAAATCAAAATAATAATTTTTCATTGTAATTTCAGATATAAAAGAAATGATTTTAATATACGATAAAATAACTAAAAGTGTTCACTACAATTTTTGAAAGTTATGAATATAAATAAAGCGATAAAAAGTATATATATTTTTTCGCATTTTTTAATAATATAACTAATTTCTTATTTAATGACCCATTTACCATTTACGTGACGTTATTTAATTCTTTTGACGCTCATGTCTGATAAATCTGATATATCAGATAAATTATCAAAATTATCTTTTTTTTAAAAAAATAAAATAAAAAAGGATTAGTTAAATAAATAACGTAGGTACTCACGTACTTAGCTAATTCATAAAAGCAATCATATACATTACCTTCGTAATCATTTTCAGCCAAATCATCAAACTTTCTTTTATCTATATAAGATTAATAATAAAGATAAATTAATTGAGATTTTTTTCAAAAAAATATAAAAGATCAATATGAATTATTTAATAATTATTCGCTTACTTTTGTCGGATTTTATTATTGCATCTAAATTATAAGTAATACCATGATCAATAGGCCCAATATCAGATGACCTTATAATTTTTGTCTTATTAATCAATTCAGCTCTTTTCATCATATTTACTTTTCGTTCTATATCAATAATTGTCGGTCTTTTATTTATGTGAGAATTCCAACAACTTTTCATTAATTCAACATAACCTTCAGGTGCATTGGTGACAATTGGAGGACGAAGGCCATCGCAAATCCCAATAATAAGGTCCGTATCATGATTTTGATCCCAAAAAGGTTCCCTGCCAGTCATCAACTCCCACATGATCATACCAAAACTATATATATCTGAAGCCTTGTTATACTGTTGTCCTTGAAGAACCTCCGGGGCAATGTAAGGGATGACACCGTAAATTTCTTCATCATCATCTGATGATTCAAACACAAATTTGCTTAATCCAAAACTACCTATCCTAAGACTGCATCCGTCCGTGAGGATATTTCCACTATGAAAATTTCGGTGAATAATGTCCATGCTATGAATGGCTGTAAGGCCTTTTACAACGCATTCCAATCTGTTCAACTTTTCTTGCCAACTAAGATTGTAAAAATTAAGAGGGATATAATGTTTCAAATCTCCTGATTTACAATAGTCCATTATTATCATGAAATCTTTTGTAGTAGGCACTTGTGTGATTCCATAATATCGATTAATGTAAGATTGCCCATCTCCTTTCCGATTTAATTGATAAAATATCTTGAGCTGAAAATAAATAATTTTTTTTTTAATTTTAACATAATAAAATGAAAAACAACGGAAAAAAATTCGAATATTATTCACCTCATTCAGATCCTTGGGAGTTATGTTCGTAGAAATACAGATTTTCTTAAGAGCAACCGTGAAATGAGCCTTTCGATTATACCTTAGTTGATCATCATTCCATTCAGTAATTGGTCCATTAATCCAAGTGGCTTTATAAATTTTACTAAATCCTCCTTCAGCGATGAATTTAACATCTTTGAATTGATCATAGGGAACAAATTCCATACATTTGGAATCATCGTAGTCACTAATTTGTGTATACTTGATAAAATCGTCGACGATGGCATTTCCACTTTTTCCACTTTGATACTTTCTTTTTTTGAATTTGGAACTAACTGCGGCACCCGATGGTCGACTTGATGTGCCTTGGTCCATTTTTATTATAATTTACTTGAATTTGTTAGAAAAAGATATCGTTCAAGAAATGCGTCTTTAAATACATAAAAAAACTTAGCAATGAAACTTCTCTTTTGAACACAAATAGGGATAAACTAATGAAGAGTTCTTTATCAGAAATAACTTTTTTTGAAATTTTCTGATTGTGATCGACCATAATTCCAGAAGTTCCACATTTTTATTTTGTTCTCGGTGGAACTTCCATTAAAACAGTGTGCATCAATTTTAATTGTTAATTTTCCAAAAATGGTTAGTCAAATGACAAATTGGGATTCAAAAAATTTTTTCTTTTAATTCTTTAAAAAAAGTTACAAAGAAAATAAATCACATGAACTATTAAAGAACGTGGTATAATCTGTAAATTATTAAAAGAAAATAAAAAAAAAAGGCATTGTGAAATTGACAAATATGGAATCTAAATTACTGATTGGAGACATATCACAAAAAGTTGGTTTATTACCAGAAGTGTCTAAATTAAATGTTCATTTAACCATTCAAAGTAACGATTATAAATCAACTAACATAAATAAATGATTTCAAATAACCGAGATTCTAAAATTGAAATTCTCCATTTTCACTTTAATCATTATTGTATGGCAGAATTATCCCCGAGAAGCGTTAAGGCAAACATTGTGAAATATGATAACCTGAGTGACGAATTTTCTGTTCCTTTGACACAATAAGCGCAAAATTTTTGATTATCAGAGGCATAAAATCGTTCAAACATATCCGTAAATATTATCTTATTTGTCTGCATCGCTTTCAAAGGACTCCTTTACAATAAAGGAAAGAAACAGGTAGGTCAGTCAGTACACTGCGCTTTCAAAAAAAGAGAAACTGCGAGTTATGGAATATTAACTCAAAATCACTTCCCACATGAACCAGAAGTCAAAATGCGCGGAATCTTTTTTAGTTTTATAGTTTAAATAAATAAATCATTTAATTATTTACATAGGAGACACTCACTTGAATAATAAATTAGTAATATTGTGTCCATTTACATAAATTTCTTGATTATGTTACTAGTTCGTATATAAAATCATAAAAGCAGTTTCCTTTGCCGAATACTTAATAGTTATTCGGCACGAAATGCCAAATAGCTATTATACCTTATAGGTATCGGTTCGAAGTGACGGATAAGTGATTTATTCTTTTGTCATTATATAATTATCTAACAGGAACAAAGGCTTCACAATTAATGAATAAGAACCATTGCAAGAACACCGAAGCCTATGCGAGAAAGATAAAACAATTATTGTAAATAAATCTATTATAAAAATTATGTAAAGTAATTTCTAGTAAATATTGTACAATAAAACTGATACACAAAAAAATTGGAAGAATTACGATATTATCGTGCAAGTTTATGTCAATTTCAAGGTAAAAGAAATCCGTATATAAGGCCGGACAAAAAAATTTTTAGACTCTCGTGACATAAAATTTTAAAATTGACACGGTCACCCGGTTTCTTTTTTTTTTTTTTATATAAATTTTTTTATATGTATTTTATATTATGTTTTGTATTACGCAAATAGTAAGGTAAATGAAGGATATTACTATTATT